CGGCAGAGACTTCCACCACGTCGCTGTCGCTGCTGAACTGCTCCCCGGCCGATGGCTCCCCTTCATCGCTGCCGATGACTTCAACAACGTCGCTCGATGTGCCATCGTCGAACTGCTCCCCTGTCGTTCGCTCCTTTAAAGTGAGCTCCTCGTTTGACGGATCATCTCTCGACGGCTCCTCTGAAATGCGCTCCTTGTTCGACGGCTCTCCTGTCGATGGCTCCTCTGAAACGCGCTTCCCGTTCGACGTCTCCCCTGTCGGCAGCTTCTCTGAAACGCGCTTCCCGTTCGACGTCTCCCCTGTTGGTGGAAACTTCACTCCGGCGCCGACTTGCTCGCTGACCAGATCATGTCGACCGCCAGCGATGCCAATGGGCGGAGCCGAAGGTGACACACCAATGCTCCCCTCATCGCTGGCGGCCGACGATGATGCCGACTTAGGCAGGCCGGGGGCGAGCGATGGGGGGGAGACGGGAAGAGGAGGAGGAGGTTTCGACGAGGGCGGAATGGAGGGAGAAGGATCTGCAGAGGCACCATCGTCCTCGGATTCGAGCAACGAAATCGCCGCTGGCAACGGACCCGTCGGCGGTGAAAACTTCGTCCGCTCTGACGCGGGCCCGTGCTCCACCTTCCACTCCTCCAGAGACATCGCCTCATAGAAGATTGCCTCCACGGTTGTGACAATGCGGTTGGTGGTGAGGTCGAGCACCTCCCTTCCCTTGCTCTCTGGCGAAACTCCGAGGTGAATTCCCCAGCGGGCCTTCGGTGCCAACTTTCCGCCGCGCTGCTGCTCTGGGATCATGAACTGCACCATGCAGCCCCACACGCGCGCCAGCGTGAGATCCGGCTTCTTCTCGAACAGCAGCTCGTACGGCGTCGTCCTCGGAGGAAGTGAAGCCCGTTCGAGGCAGTTGCGCACCCAGACGGCGTGGCGAAGGGCGAGGTGCCACCAGTGATGCTTCACCCCCATGTGAAGCAGCATCGTCCGCACAGCTTCGACGACCGTGCGCATCTCCCGCTCCGCCATGCCATTCTGTTGCGGAGTGTAGGGGCACGTGAGGTTGTGGAGAATACCCTTGTCTTCGACGGGATCGGTGAAGGCCCGGCCGAGGAATTCCACTGCGCGGTCAGAGCGCAGCCTTTTCACCGACTTCGAAGTCTGCCGCTCCACTTCCTTCAGCCACTTCTCGAAAACGACCAGCACATCGCTCTTCTTCGCGATCGGGCGGACCCACACAAAGCGGGTCTTGCGGTCCTTGAGGAGAAGGAAGTAGAGGCTTCCATCCATGGCGGCCACGCGGAAGGGGCCGCAGAGGTCAATGTGCACGACGTCAAGGGCGTTGTCAGCGTCCGATCCCTTCTCTGGAAAAGTATGTCGCGCTAGTTTCCCTCCGACACAGGAGGCACACGACAGGTCGCCTCCGGTCGAATTCTCGATGTCCAGACCGACGGCAACACCATGCTTCGCCGAACTCTTAATCGTGTCAATGCCATCGTGCGCGAGCCTCGGGTGCCACTTGTCTAGCGTCGACTTCGTCGCAGATGCGATCGTCCGCAGAGCAACTGCCTCAGTCAAAGATGTCGTCGATTTCGAGGAGCAGGGGCGAAGGTCGGTGCAGAGGACCCGGCCGGTGTAGCGTGCTCGACCGAGCACATCTCCTGCAGCGGAAACGAGCAGCATCTCGTCACCCTCGTTCTGCAGCTTCACGCCGTTTTCCTTCAGCTGACCAGCAGACAGTAGATTCGCGTGCACGCCCGGAACGTACAACACGTCGGGGATGAGAATCGGCTTCCCGGTCTCCCCTTCCAGAGCAACTGTGCCACGGCCTTCGACGTTCTGAAGCGCCCCGTTGAATCCGCGCACGTGACGGATTTCTCCTCCTGGCTTCATTTCGACGAAGGCCTCTCGCGTTCCCATCAGATGATGGGAGCAGCCACTGTCGAGGAGAACCACAGTCGGATTCGCCTGCACACCTGTTGCTACCGCCTGGAAGTCCTCGCCAGCCTCCGGCGCCAGTGAAATTGTTGGGTCGACCACGCCAACCATCGAACAAGAGGCTTCCTTTCCGCTCGAGGTACCAGCCTCTGATGTTGACGGCGTTTTTGACGACGCAGGCTTCTCCTTGCGCGGCTGGTTGTCTCGACGACGACGGTCGCTGTCAGACTTCCCGTCCTCTGAACGACGAGCGTTGTCAGACTTTCCACGACTTCCTCTCTGATCGTCGTCGGACTCGTCGCGGTCAGGGCAGTCGTACGAGAGATGGTCAAGGTCTACGCAAATGTAGCAGCGGCGTCCTCCTCGACGCGAACCACTGCTTCCGCGATCATTGCCCTTCGCCGACTTTCCGCGGTCGGCGTTCTCCGAAGACTTGGTGTTCGACGACTTTCCGCCACCGCCTCCACCTCCGCCCGACTTCCCACGCTGCCCCGTCTGACGTCCCTGCTTCGTCGGAGCAACGTAGTTGGCCTGCGGAAGGAGCTCTGAAGACCGCTCAGACTCCTGCATGAACTCATCCTGGATGATGTGACTCGAAAGCGAGTCCTCGTTCAGAGTCTCGCGTGTGCCAGGCATTATCAGCATCCGGCGCATCAGATTGTAGCTCGAGGGGAGGCCATTGATGACATGCGTGACATACGACGCCACCGAGTACTCGAAGCCAGCCATCCGCATGTCGGCCAAAATTCGCCGCGCTCGATTGCAGTACTCGGTCGCCGATTCTTGCTTGCCCATGCGAATGTTGGCCAATTTTTTCTACAGTTGGCTGATGTAGCGGTCGTCTATCGCTCTGTAGGTGCGCATGATGTACTGCCACGCTTGGTAGCCGGCGTCCACTCGAAGTCGGCACGGCTTCAGCGCGACTTGCACCAGCGGCGAATAGCACCTCGAAAGGACCATGAAGGTCAGAAGGTGAGCAGCGCGAAATTCCGCCAACAATTCATAGTCGTCTTCGTCCGGCATCTCCACCTTGCCGTCAACGAACTTCTTCAATCCGGCGATCTCCAACTGGGGTTCGATTGACTCAATCCATGTGATCAAGTCATGTCGTCCTTCGAGCGGCTTCGGCACAGCGATCTTGTCCGGCGAAAATTTGAAGTAGCCGTACGCCGAAGCGATGCCTCCGTCTCGACCAGCCGACGCATGAGTCGCCGAAGTCGGCCTGGCTCCACTCCGCTGAGGAGAAACGCGTCGACCATCGATGTTGCCATTCGAGCTTCCCGCTACCGCCGGATGCTGAACCCGCGCCTGCATTCCGCAGACGCCAAGGTCAGCGGCCCGAATCACTCCACGAACCCGCGTGCTGCCTTCCCTGCCGACTTGGTCACCACCGGTCACCTGGTCGTCGACGTCCCCTTCGTTGTGCGCCGGTCGGGGAGTGGCGGGCAGACCATCCGCCACAGTACGGGTCGTTGGATGATCGCGCGCCCACTGCACGCGGGTTCCAAAGAGCATAACATCCAAGTTCGCTCCGCCGTACTCGCCAGCTGCGTGGCGTGCCCGAACGTCATCTAACCGCGCCTGCAGGGTATCCTCTACGCCTGCAGCGACCTCCTCCTGGTCGACCATGGCGGTCTAGACGGCTGCCGGCCTACAACAACTTAGGTAATGAGTGCTGAAGTCGGCTACTCTGAAGGTTCTAACGCGGGGCCGTTCCACGCTCACCGCACCATGCGGAGAATACTATTCTACGGGAGAGCTTGACTAGCGTGGGATGTCAGAATATAATGCTTGTCTAGTCTGTAGTGGGGTACTCAATAGTGAGTATAACCCTTTTGGGCTTGCTATTTGTATCCCCCTCCTTTCTAGTTCAAACCCCCTCTTTTGCCTAATTCTCTCTTGCCTAGCTAGGTAAACCCTAGCTATGGCTCCTCGTCGTATCTACTATTTTGACATGGGAAACACAGTCAGAGTTCTGGCAGTGATTCTCATGAGTGAACTTAACTGCTTTGGTAGAATTCAAGCATAGTTCCACTAGCTAAAATTGATTGAACAAGATTATGGTACAAGCAAGGAGAACCAAATAGCAAGAACAATGAACCCTAGAGAAACGTTCCTCGGCTAACACCTGACTTATCCGAGTCAGCAACGGCAGGTGAAACGACAAGCACATGTGTCTTTCACCTGAGTTGGCAGTTTCTCAGGTTCACAACTTTCAGAGTTGTTTACGTTTTTACTGTTAGTAAAAACGTGTTTCAGGTTTAGTTCTTCTACTGATTCGAAATCTCCATGGGAGTACAATTTCCGAAATTCTCTGATTGGTCGAAATTTGCTGTTTCGCAATTGGTTGAAATTCGTGCACATTGCATATTTTGGAGACAAGTAATTGTGTCGACCAGCAACGCTCTGCTCGATGGTCCCTGTTTTGAGCTTTATTCAGTCGACCAGCGTTCTGTCGAAATGCTATTTTCTACCATTTCGTCGACCCGCAAGGCTCGATTATGATGCTGTTTTGCTCCCCTTGACAAGTGCCTGGTCGAGGGACAGCTGCCTAAAGCAGAAACAACACTTCAATTTCGACGAATTAATCTCGTCGAAAATCGACCCGTCGTTCAGAGATAAAAGTCCCCGAAGTCGCCGATGACCACGAAACGAACACCGTTGTGCTCCGAAAAGCATGGCCGACTTCGCCCAAGCGAGGGCGGGGCCTTTTCTCCTCGACAACTCCCTCACTCCCTCATTCACTCTCTCACTCACTAACTCCCTTCCTCCCTCCCTTCACTCACCAGCCAGTGGCGAGCACGGATCCACGTCTCGCACTCCTTCCCCTTCTGTCCGAAGCACCCTCTCCTCTGCATAGAAGGCGTTCGCATGCGGGTTGTGTGGGCCCTTTGTCTCAGCCCTCACGTTCACCTCCACCACCTGATTGAGGTGGTTGGTGGAAGGAGGGAAAATGGGGTTGGGTTGGGAGCAGGCAATATTCGCACATTATGGGAGCACGGCCTCATGTGGAGGTGGGGGCTTCCGTTCCGTCTCAGCCCTCACGTTCACCTCCACCACTTGATTACGTGTGGGGAGGAGAGAGGGAGGCGGGAGGAGAGCGGGAGGTGGGGAGGAGAAGGAGAGAGGGAGGTGGGGAGGAGAGAGGGAGATAGACGAAGGTGGGGAGGAGAGGGAGGTGGGAACGGTCCACCTTCCAACAGCATAAACCAATCAACTCTATTGCCCTCACCTGATTAGCGTGCTTCCCCGGGCGGCAGTCAACGGCGATGTCCATGCGAGCCTCACCCCTCCCAACACTCCCCCACTCTCTCCTCACCTGGTTAGCCTGCTCCCCCGGGCGGCAGTCCACAGCCATGTCCATGCGAGCCACGAAGAAGTGCTGGTGGATGGAAGCGTACAGCCCCAGCGCCAGCAGCGTGCCGTACTTCCTCTCCTCGCCCTCCCTCAACGCCCCCACTGATAAGATGCCTGTGAGTTTGATTTGAGCTTCGATCTTGCCATCCTGTATTAAGAAGGGAGAGAGAAAGGAGATGGGGAGGAAGGGGAGGAGGGGGAGTCGGGAAGGAGGTTGGTAGGGGGGGGGGGAGTAGAGGGAGTTGGGAAAACAGGAGCAGTGGGGAATAATGGGTTAGATGGGAACATATAGCCCTGGCGTCAGCAGTGTGCCGTACTTATGCTCTTTGCCATGGTCCCCAGCTGCATGTACACCGTGTTTCCCACTCAACCATTCTGCCCGTACCCTGTCTCACAAGCTTCGCTGCCCAGCTCTACTCTGCGCAGCTCTACTCTGCCCACCTCTACTCTGCCCAGCTCTACTCTGCCCAGCTTGTAATCAGCACGCGAACGCCCCTACCCACCTGGTAGAGATACCAGAAGAAGCCATAGTCGTAGTTGACTATGGTGCAGAGAAACGAGAGCACTAGCCTTCCCACCAACCCACCTCTAGTGTGTAAGTGCACATCACACAGACAAGACAAAGCAAGCAACCCGGTAGGAACCACCCACCTGGTAGAGATACCAGAAGAAGCCGTAGTCGTAGTTGGCCACCGTGCACATGAACGAGAGCACCAGGCATCTCGACCAACAAGCCCCCCTTGAGAGCACAACACATGACACAGACAACCCAATCCGTTGGAAAGCACCCTTACCTGGTAGAGGTACCAGAAGAAGCCGTACTCATAGTTGGCCACCGTGCACACGAAAGAGAGCACCAGGCGTCTCGACCGCCTCACTTCCGTGTGGCCCGAGCGCCAGTCGACGTGCTTCCAGAGGATGCCGAAGTCCTCCTCATGCATGCACACGGCGTTCTCTATCGTCTCCACCCCGCCCAGGAAGTTGCTCATGTGCGCGTCAAAGTAGCGGATCAAGCCCAGACAGTCACAGCCCTGTTGGGATGGGGAGGAAGGGAAGGGATAGGAGATAGGGAGGATGAAATTGTTCATGTGCGCGTCAAAGTAGCGGATCAGCCCCAAACAATCACATCCCTGAGGGAGAGAGGAGACAGGGAGAAGCGACAGGAGGTAGAGGGATGAAATTGCTCATGTGCGCATCAAAGTAGCGGATCAAGCCCTGTTGGGAGAGGGGATGGGCAAAGGAGACAGGGGATGGGCAAAGGAGACAAGGGATGGGCGAAGGAGACAGGGGATGGGCAAAGGAGAAAGGGGATGGGCAAAGGAGATAGGGGATGGGCAAAGGATACAGGGGATGGGCGAAGGAGACAGGGGATGGGCGAAGGAGACAGGGGATGGGCAAAGGAGAAAGGAGATGGGCAAAGGAGACAGGGGATTGGTGAAGTTGCTCATGTGCACATCAAAGTAGCGGATGAAGCCCAAGCAGTCAGAGCCCTGGTGGGAGAAAAAGGGGAGTACATGGGAAAGAGGGTTCCACAGGGGTGCAAAGAGGCTGTGATGATCGGCGCACATGGTCCTGCCCATGCATGCCCTGAGCACAAAAAACGCGTACCTTCTTCATCAATGTATGCTGCTGATCTCAAAACAGCAGTATGCATCCACATTTGTGAGCAAGTGGGTGTTCTGACACAGGGAGGGTCCACTCCCCCCCTGTCCGCCCCGGGCGTGTAGTTGCGCAGCGGGTCGGGCGGGGGCAGCGGAATGAGCTCCCTGTCCTCGCACTTGATCACTGCCATGCTCTGTGACGGCAGCAGTAGGGCAAGACGGTAAGTGGGGGACAGGAAATAGGTTTGAAGACTAGGAAGGGGTCGGGCGGGGGCAGCGGGATGAGCTCCCTGTCCTCGCACCTGATCACTGCCATGCTCTGTGACGCAAAGGGAAGGAGAGGAGGGGAAGGGATGAGCTCCCTGTCCTCGCACCTGATCACCTCCATGGTCTGGTTGAGTTTGGGATGGGGTGAGAGTAAATTGGGGAGGGAGAAATGAGAAAAGGCCAAGAAGAGGTAAGGTGGGGGCAGCGGGATGAGCTCCCTGTCCTCGCACCTGATCACCTCCATGGTCTGAATGGTAGCAGGAGGAGGGATTACAATAGAGGGGATGGGGAAAGGGAGGAGGACGATCAGCTGAGCGGAGAAGCAGGGCGGGGGCAGCGGGATGAGCTCCCTGTCCTCGCACTTGATCACTGCCATGCTCTGTGAAAGCAAAGGGAAGGAGAGGAAGGGAAGGGATGAGCTCCCTGTCCTCGCACTTGATCACTTCCATGCTCTGTAACGGCAAAGGGAAGGAGAGGAGGGGAAGGGATGAGCTCCCTGTCCTCGCACTTGATCACTTCCATGCTCTGTAACGGGGAAGGGATGGGAGGAAAGGCAGAGGAGCAGAAGGCTAGGAATGGGCCGGATGGGGGCGGAGGGATGACCTCCCTGTTCTGCACCTCACCACATCCACATGTGCATCCATGCGTTGCCCAAGGAGCAGGGTCTGGCGTATGCATTGCCCATAGATGCACATGTATCTTCTCACATCCACATGTGCATCCATGCGTTGCCCAAGGAGCAGGGTCTGGCGTATGCATTGCCCATAGATGCACATGTATCTTCTCACATCCACATGTGCATCCATGCGTTGCCCAAGGAGCAGGGTCTGGCGTATGCATTGCCCATAGATGCACATGTATCTTCTCACATCCACATGTGCATCCATGCGTTGCCCAAGGAGCAGGGTCTGGCGTATGCATTGCCCATAGATGCACATGTATCTTCTCACATCCACATGTGCATCCATGCGTTGCCCAAGGAGCAGGGTCTGGCGTATGCATTGCCCATAGATGCACATGTATCTTCTCACATCCACATGTGCATCTATGGTCTCCACAGGCCTGGCGTATGCATTGCCCAAGGAGCAGTCCGTACATGAGCATGTGATAATAACGAGAGAATTATGAGAAATGAAGAGGGTATTGGGGGTATATCTTCTCTGCTCACCTGCACATCCACTAGTATGTCAATAGCCTCCATGGGCCTCCCATATCCATTGTCCAAGGAGCAGTCAGAGAGACACAATGGCTTGTGTTGTTAACGAGTCAGTGCTTATAAAGGGTACGTATGCTGTGCTCACCTGCACGTCAACAAGCACATCGATGCCCTCCACGGGCCTGGCGTATGCATTCTCCAAGGAGCAGTCAGAGGGGCAGCGGCAGAAAATGGTTGTTTTGGCGAGACGGCGAGATGGGTGGTCTGCTTCAGAGTAATATCCCACACACCTGGAGATACAGGGCACATGATACATTGCGGATAGAGTGGGGGGAATGGCTAACGTTCAATTCAAGGATAATGATTAAATGCCCCGTATAAGTTGTATCAAAAAGAAACTTCTAAGAGCCAATTGTATAGTCAAGCGTCAACATGTTAGATGTGTGACAAGGGATGTGTGACAAGGGATGTGTGACAAGGGATGTGTGACAAGGGATGTGTGACAAGGGATGTGTGACAAGGGATGTGTGACAAGGGATGTGTGACAAGGGATGTGTGACAAGGGATGTGTGACAAGGGATGTGTGACAAGGGATGTGTGACAAGGGATGTGTGACAAGGGATGTGTGACAAGGGATGTGTGACAAGGGATGTGTGACAAGGGATGTGTGACAAGGGATGTGTGACAAGGGATGTGTGACAAGGGATGTGTGACAAGGGATGTGTGACAAGGGATGTGTGACAAGGGATGTGTGACAAGGGATGTGTGACAAGGGATGTGTGACAAGGGATGTGTGACAAGGGATGTGTGACAAGGGATGTGTGACAAGGGATGTGTGACAAGGGATGTGTGACAAGGGATGTGTGACAAGGGATGTGTGACAAGGGATGTGTGACAAGGGATGTGTGACAAGGGATGTGTGACAAGGGATGTGTGACAAGGGATGTGTGACAAGGGATGTGTGACAAGGGATGTGTGACAAGGGATGTGTGACAAGGGATGGATTTTTATGGATTCTCCTTCTCAGTCAGATGGAACAGAAATAGAATTTCAAAGGAGAGACAGACACGGCCATGCAGACATCCATGCTACCCGTTTCATGCATGTATGCATGCATGCACTCATGCGCTGCTGCAGAACGTGTCACAGGCTTGCCGTGCCACTATGGTGCAGTTCGTGTCACTACGTTGACTCAGTTCGTGCCCTTGCTGACTCAGCACATGCCAGCACTGACACACCATGCGTCCACCATGACTAGATCCATGTCATCCACCCCTCGCCGCCTCATTGCCTCTTGAAACGGCGGGTGTGCCTTGACGGCTGCCTCGCACTCTAGGTATTCCTGATTGTCCTGGGGGGGGGGGGGGGGGGGGGGGGGGGGGGGGGGGAACGATAAGGACAGAGCACAAGGGAAGAGATGAGAGGGAGAGGAATGTCATCTTGTTACAACAACACGCTTTCGGTTACCGCCAGCGGATTGGATTCTACACACGATATGGGCAGCTGCTATATGGGCGGCTGCGATGTGGGCCGCTGCGATGTGGGCGGCTGCGATGTGGGCGGCTGAAGAATATGGGCTGCTGAACGACATGAATAACTCTGTCAGGACCCACCAATGCCGGCTGAACGTTCTCCATGACGTGGCACGATTTGATTCGTCCACGGTCATCCCCCCCGCTCAGACTTGCATGCACCTCCGCTAGCTGTACCACCCACACCGTCGTCTGATTGGTCAGCTTGCTCCACGTCACCAGCCTAGCCTCGCAGGGGGGAAGCCGGAGAATGGCCACTTCGAGAGAGGGGGGTGCCGCGGAGGGGGGGGCGAATGAGGAGAGGGGAGCGGGGGAAGAAGCGGAGGAGGGGATGGTGGCAGGAGAGGGGGGCGGGATGGGGGAGGAGGAGGAAGGTTTGTTGTGAGGGAGCGGGTGAGTGTTGGAGGGTGGAATGTAGACCGAGTGCTGGTAAGGCGGGAAGAAGTAGGCGTCTGCCAGGGCGACCACGTCCTTGGGTGGCTCGTTAAGAGCCACCTCGATAAAGCGTATGGCGTCCCGGAGCTGAGAATCAGAACATAAGAGATAATGGACGAACGATTGGAAATGAAGGGAAGTTTAGGACTGCAGAATAAACGCATGATCAATGTCATTAGTAAGATCAGCATGCTTTCACCCCAAGTCGACGGACATTCTCAAAACGCGATCTGACAGCAAACGAGTTGAGAGAGGTTATGATGCGATGTCACAGGATAGATCACTGACCCTGGGAGAAGGTACAGCCTTGCGAACGGTTCGAGTCGAAGTGACTGAAAGAACGATCCGTAAGCGAATATGTGAGCAACATGGTAACAGATTATGATGTGATGTCACGGAACCGATGACTGACCTCGGGAGAAGATACAGCCTCGCGGGCTGTCGCGACGGCGACAGATATCATCTCCGCGGGACTCAGCGGGACCAGTCTCCGTGCCCGGATAACATGTGCGCAAATTTGTGAGAACGTGTCACGGTACAGATGACTGACCTCGGGAGAAGATATTGCCACACGGACCGTCACTGCGACAGAGATCTCCTCAGGACTCAAGGGGTCCAACGGATGAACTAACGGAGTCCGTCCGATCGAAACGACCTCAGGATGCGACTTGACGGGCGCTGCTGCGAGCAATAGAAATTCGTTTCAACGAGCGATTTCCGTCCAGCATTGTACGTCATGATAACGAGGCTAAAGCCGACGAAATTCAGTGAACAGATGGCGAAGCCAGCATTACCGACCCAATTCAGGAAAAAGACCGTAGGCCCAGCTAAAACAGGAGCATAACGAGATAAATGAAAAGGAAACTAGAATCTTACCCATTGATAAAATCGCAGACTGAGAGACGAATGTAGCTACATTGTATCCGACATTGTATCCGCAACCTGAATGATTGGGAGAAACGTCGCACGAGTAAACGGGGCGATAGATGTACTCGATGTTATCGGAAAAACTGGCCTGCAAAAACCTCTACCATTCTGCAGCTCGAAGGTAGCAGCCGAGTTGTAGCCATAATTGGGCAGGAAAAAAGGGAAGAGAGGTGCGGGAGGAACGGAATGGCTTGTGAGTTTTCCCTAGTCATTTCCAAGGCACCTGCTCTCTGACCAGCAAATCTCGAAGCACTGTCCCCAAGACTCGGATGTCAGTCAACATCGCCATTTCGTGATTCCCCATGATTTCTCTCGCGAATCATAGACGTGCAGGAACGACATCTCACTCGCGCCTCGACGTTCTCGCGAAGCGATTTCGCGCGACCGTCCCTACCGTCGTTGGCAGAACAGAAATGCTGGAACCCGTTTGCGAGCCAATGCGGTGCAGGAACACAGTGCTCGATTTTGAAGGTTGTAGTAGAAGTCTGAACGTACCATACATCCTCATTGTTTTTATACGATTTAAATAAACGTCAGACATTTTGGAATCCTTGCAGTTTTGGCCACTTGGTTAGACCTATTACGGGTCGGATCACTAATGCCTAATTTATTACCTGATCCCATATTTCTGATAATTTTGTTGATATCTTATTTTTCCGATGTATTTGATTCTTAGGGAAGGGTTTCATTCCGGTTTGGATGTTATTATATAATATTCCACTCATGTTAGATAACCTCTGTCCAACGTCTAGCTTTGGTATGTTCTGAAGGAGATATCGGTTCGGCTTCTAAGCAAGAAGTATGCTTGGTCGGCTTGCTGTGAGCCGATTGGACGAAATCACCACGGAATAACTGGTATGGAATCAGCTCTGGTGCACATGGCGGCTGTGGCTCAACGCAATTTGGCGGGAAAACCAAGGCAGGGCCAACACGCAAGCAAGGGTTTGTGTTTGGGTTTGGCTCGGCGGCAAGCCGACCTTCTCAAGGTTCTGTTTGTGGCCAAGCGGCAGAGGTTCGGAAAAAAATATGCGTTGACATTTTATTGTCAATGGAAGCTTGATGGGACAGCAAAGCAAGAAGAGAATTCGAAGTGATTGGGTTGACGGTTTCTGTGGTGCAGAGCGTTTAAAAACTCTTAATTTACGTTTCCGTGCGGTCCTAGGATGTTTGGAAACTGAATTCACCTGATCCCCTTTCACCCAATTCCCTACCTCATCTCACCACCGTGTTTTCCGGAAACTTGTTCGGTCACTTCAGTTATTGCCATTTGCTGCCGTATGCTGGTAGGTGCTTCCCAGCAAGTTGTTCAGCTTCGTACGCTTCATACTCACGTCCGCGCGTCCAGTTGCGAGGGTATCAAGACGTTTGGTGACGATCTTTTCGGGCCTGTCACGCTAGGTCGCGCCGCGTGTTACAATCCATTGCGATTCCTTGCAGAATAGCGTCTACTACCCCAGAGCCAGGTGTCTTGC